GGATCTGATGTTCAACAGAGTAGAGGAACTGAGTAACCAGACCAGGAAACAAGGTAAAAGGTAATTTTATTTACAGGTGAGGGCTCAGGACGTCTGGCTGCAAGAAGAGTGAAATGAAGAGGTGAGTATTCGTTCTCAAATTGTATCTTGCCAACGATGACAGTGGTATTGTTTCTTTTCTTACTGGTTCTTTGGAGGCGAGCAGCATGGAATGGAGGAGGATATCTCAACAGGTAGAGTAGCTTACAGGCTGTAGGTGATCCTAAAATCGACACTTGGTGATTGATTCCTTGATCGTGTTCCAGGTAGGAGGTTTTGCTGGTGGCAGGTAGGCAGACTGAAAGGTTCTTGATGAGGTGGTTCACCTTGGACACAAGACAGCGAAAAGGTAAGCTCAGAGATACTTAATACACTTAGAGGTGGCTTGAACGCTACCATAGAGGCAAGATGCATCAGCGTAGACCAGTCAGCAGGGACGCCTAATAAAGCCCAGCAGCTCATCAGGAAAAACCCTCACAGGTGCAAACAATCAGGCCATGAACCAATCAGGAAAACAGGAAAGTAGAACCAAGCCACATGGCTAGCCAATATTTAAAATTTGTTTTGGAAATCACAGAAGTCATGTCCTCCATGCTAAAGGGAAGATGAACTATCTGGCCTGTTCTCAGCACACAGTTCAAAAGCCTGCCTCGCTGATAGTATAGTGGTGCATTAGTGACTATTACTTGATTTTCCACATCTGGAAATGCTCCATCAATGTGAAATTTTAGAGCAACTTATGCTCCTATCCAGATAATGTCTTTCTCTTGCACATTTCAGCAAGACTGCATCCATTACAACACCATAGCTTCACATGACCCGTTTTCTCTATTTTATATGACATTTTCTGAACTATCATATCAAACTATTTGTGACGGAACTGCCAAATAAGGTCTGCACTTAACAACTACAATTTAGTGGTCTTCACTGTCTTCTGAGTTAGGCTCTGACTCCAACATGTGGCTGGATGGACAAGTCTTCTGTTGTTGACGTCTTTTAATTCATTTATAAATAAAACGTTTCTGCACCTCCCTAACCCCCCTCCATCAAGCTGGAATGAACCGGTCTGGAAGCCGGACAGGGGTGTGAAGCGCCTCGTTTGGATTTGAAGGGGACAGCATCAAAACAAGCTGCTTTGTGACCCACCTCAGAAAAGGGCTGAAAGTGGGGCTTGTGGAGTTACAATAAGGAGGAATTCAGTCTCCTTTAAATGGACCTAGAAGCTAAAATTGGGTTTGCAGTTAAGAAAAAAAATCTTCTCCACTTTGATGCGTCTGCAGCACATTTGTCATGCAGATGTTGTAAAACAAGACACATTCAGTTTTTCGGGTCGAGCAAACTCCAGTAAACATTCGTTTTTTTAAAGAGCTCATGCAAACTGTGTTTGGTTTGTGGCAACACTCTGCGGAGCACAACGATCAGCGAGCTGAGACGGTTTCAGTTTTAACCCAACGACAAAAACACAGACAATATTTGTCTGAGCAAACAGTCCCAGAGGAGCCCAGCGGTGAAAAAATAAAGGGAAAGTTTTCGCTCATCATGAAGCCCACCTGCAGTGCTTTTAAACACGCGCTCCAATTTGACTCACTCCACTGCAGGCATGAATGCTTTTTATTTTTTTTAACTGCACCAAGACTCTCTTTCACTAGCAGCTGTGTGCAGGAGGATGTGATCCTAAATAGGTCAGCTTTCACAGCTTCTACATCGATCTCTGGTCATTTATTTTAAATTTCACCTCGTGAAGCTTTTCCCCCTTCAGCGTGAAGGATTAACACGCACAAACATCACCATCCTGTGGGTTTTCACGTGTTGGTGGATCAGAGCCGCTCCAGAGTCTTTCACTTATTCAGTGTGCAGAGTGATGCCTGGGGGTCTGACAGTAATGCTAAGCAGCAACGCAAATAAAACATTAAAGGACCAGCATTCATTGAGCGACTGCATGTCACCCGCCACCTTTCACAACAGAGACCATCTAATGAAGAGAACACACATCGCAACATTAGTCTGACCCAGTTCTGGCCCACACAAGGCACTAACACTGGAGCCAGACTCGGCAAAGAATGGCGGCCTTTTGGTGGCCCAGATGTGGTTTGCCAGAGGTGGTTCATGCATGGGCCCAGCACCACATAAACTAAACCACAACTGGGTCAGATGTAGCTTTGACAGAGTTGGGCCCCATAAACCTAAACACAACTGGGCCAGATGTGGCTTTGACAGATTTGGGCCACATAAACTAAATCACTACCAAGTCAGTTGGGGATTTGAAAGTTTGGGCCACATAAATCAAACAACAATTCGGCCAGTTGTGGCTTTGACAGTTTGGGCCACATACTGTACACCAAGTCACCACCTAGCCAGTTGTGGGCCACATAAACAAAACCACAACTGGGCCAGTCATGACATACCATCTTAAAAATGAAGCTATCATTGTCAGACCTGGACCACATCTGGTTGATCATCTGTGGGCCAATTTTTAGGTCTTCTGATTGGTCCTGGCACGCTGCCTTGGATGTCACCGTCTCCGCTGCACCCCTCTCCTTACCAAATGTTTTGCCCCCCCCCAAAAAAAGCTGGCTGCACCTTTCACAGAGTCGTTTTTTTGAGCGTATGCTTGTGTGTTCTTTTACAAAACACAGGATCAAAGCTCTTTTTTTAAACTCATCCTTCCTATATGTGTGTATTCTAAACTGCAAAGGTAGCGCACTACGCAGCGGAAGACCCTGGACATTCGTTCCCCCGTGTCTGTCATGTGTGTGTTTCTCCAGACGGATGTTCTAAACTGCATATTTCGTTCTACGTTGCATCTTGATGTTGTATGTGAATGACAATAAACAATTCTTGACTCTTCTTGAACCACTTTCCATGCCAGCAGTGCCAGCTGGATACCAGATCTGGCCGGCCCACATCTGTCTGCTATGGGACGATGTTACAGCTGTTTTGATCCTTAAAGAAATAACGATACGTGCAATACCTCATAAGATACTGTGAAATGTCATGCTCAGAGTATGTGTTGGGAATGACTCTCAGCTACTAACATGCTGAATTTTAGCTCATTCTATGTAAAACTGACGTTTGGGATTTGCATTTTTTTTGTGTTTCTTTTAATCCAGTTAGCTGTGGTGGTCATCTTGAATCAGGCCAACTTCAAAAATTAATCAGTTGCAGATCCAGGGATAACTTCCTGATTATTTCATTACAATTTCTTGTGGTTCATGAGATATTTTGTCAACAGAAACCTTCCCACCTGTAGGAGAATGAGACTCTCATTCACCTCCTCCTCCTGTGCTCTGTTATAAATACTTTCACACAGTTTTTCCTTTAAAATCCAGAAGATGCGCAGCAGCAAAACAACCATTGTATTTGTGTTGTGAGAACAAGTGTTCGGTAATATTCTGCAGCTTCTAAAGCTGCTTTGTGGTTAGTTTTTTTTGTAACCTCCCAGCTCTGCAGCTCAGAACAGTCAAATGAGCTCTGACTGATGCAAATCAAGCTGTCAGCTGTCTTTTCCACTCTGCTGAGTTCTGCCATCAGATAGAAACCTCTGGTACAGTCAGACCAAACGAGAACCATCCTTGTATTCAGGCACGTGTCGCTTATTCTCTGGAACTCTGGAGGTTTGTGTTGTCCAAAACCTGTTTTAAACTAGATTAACTCTCAAACAAAGAAAGTAGAGTGTGTAACCTAAAATAGCAAATATCTGGGTCAGTTCAGTTAATTGTTCTTTTTAACTAAAAAGTAGGCAGTAATGTTTTTTGTCTATTAGCAAAGTCCCATGAACAACCTGACCAATTTCAATGAAAGATGAACAACTGATTCACTCATGGAGTCCACCTGATTCAAGATGGCTGCCATTTTTATGAAACATGCAGAGAAATGGCTACAATTTGGTCAGTTTTCCAAATATGCACCTAAAATTTGTTATGGTAGTAGCTGAGACTAATTCCCAACAAGTTTTTTGAGAGCAAACAGATTGTACAAAGTCTTATTTAGAATTTTGCCTTTGTTTGCAGTCAGTTCTGACTATTAGCAAAATATCTCATGAAACACTGCACAGATTTTAATGAAACTTAGAGAAAATAATCATTTGATGTACATCTATATCTGAATAAATTCTGGAGAAAAATTAATTCAAGATGGCCACCACAGCTAACTCGCCTTTAAGAATGTAAAAAATGCAATGATTTGATCTATTGTTCATGTATTGGGCTAACTTTTGGTGTGGTAGTAGCTGAGAGTATTTATCAACACATATAACACACACTGACCATGACTTCTTGCAATATTGACATGGAACTATGTAACATTATTTTCAAGGTTTGATTAAATTGGCTACAACTTTATCAATTCTCAACGTCACTCTGGTCTGAAGGAATGCTAGGCCTTCGGTTTAGTATCTGCTCTGGTGTTATCTGGCTAAAAGTCTGGTGTGAACACTGTGTACTCGTGTCACTAACACTCCCATGTTGATGGGAGATACATTAGGACTGTGTGAGAGGTTCAGGTGCTCAGTGATGAGCAGAAAATTGCACATTTTCTGGGGATTGTATGATTGTAGTAGTTTTCTGTGTGCTGAACCGCTAATTCAAACACATGCCAACATCCACTGAAATGTGTCACAGAACTGGAACCAGGATGGGATCTGGTTGACGCTTCCTCTCATTTGAGCTGACAGTGGGAACGAATCACCCGTGGTCAATATTCTGAAGTTTTTCCCCCAAAATGGCTTTCAATTAGTCCAAAAAGTGCTGCTGTTGGACACAGCTTTACAGGCTGAAAAAACCCCGGGCTGCCGCAGGCGGCACAATGCATTAGCACACGATGAGCTGTCAGAGAGGATTATTTCACCACCACCACAGTCAGAGAAGGGAAGGGGGTGGGAGCGCCGCTCTGCTGCACTAAACCCAAGGAAGGGTGGGCGGGAGGCAGATAAAGGACGAGAATCACACAGAGGGAAGAGGGGAAAAGAGTAGAAAGTGTCCGTTGCGCCCGGGTGGATCTTTCCAGAGCACTGATGTTGGAACACTCCTCTGAGCTGGCCCTGGTGCAGAGTCTGTATGCCAACAGCATGCGCTGCCCCCCCTCTGCAGCCGGGATCTCTGTCAGGAATGAGGACCTGCCTATGAGGTATGTTGGGAC